CAGCCCCATGCAACACGACAGGCTTGGGGAGGATTGGCTGGAGAGATGCCTGGAGGAAAAGGACCTTGGGGTGTTGGTGGACAGCTGGCTAAACATGAGCCAGCAGTGTGCCCAGGTGGCCAAGAAGGCCAATGTCATCCTGGCTTGGATCAGGAATAGTGTGGCCAGCAAGAGTAAGGAGGGGATCATACCCCTGTACTTGGCACTGGTGAGGCCGCACCTGGAGTAGTGTGTTCAGTTTTGGGCCCCTCACTATAAGAAGGACATTGAGGTGCTGGAGCATGTCCAGAGAAGGGCAGCGAGTCTGATGAAGGGAACTGCGGTTGTTTAGTCTGGAGAAGAGGAGGCTGAGGGGAGACCTTATTGCTCTCAACAACAACCTGCAAGGAGGTTGTAGTGAGGCAGGTGTTGGTCTCTTCTCCCAAGGAACTAGCAATAGGATGAGAGGAAATGGCCTCAAGTTGCATCAGAGGAGGTGTAGACTGGATATTAGGAATCATTTCTTCACTGAAGGAGTGGTCAGGCATTGGACCAGGCTGCCCAGGGAAGTTGTCAAGTCCCCATCCCAGGTGTTCAAAATCCGTGTAGATGTGGCACTTCGGGACATGGTTTTGTAGGCATGGTGGTGTTGGATTGATGGTTGGACTTGATGATCTTAGAGGTCTTTTCCAACCTTAATGATTCTATGATTCAGCTACACTGCCTTTTATTAGTTATCCTAGTAACACAAAGCTTAAACTTCCAGATTATTGAAATCTCCTATGCAAGCCACCCTTCAAAAATGCTCCTATGTTCCCTACCAATTACGAAGACCGATTTAAATTACATTTTTCAGTCACTGAAGCACATAGAAATCTGAGCTTTTATGCCTTGTAAATTGGAAATATTCAAATTGAAGCATATTCTGATGAGAAACTAACCACCTGCACTCAAGCTACAGGTATATTCATGCCTTCCATGGTCAAAAGCAAGGCCTACCATCTAAAACTCATCATTGTTACAAACAGTATAGGTTAGGTTCAGTTATTTGTATCTTGCAAAGTGTGTGAAAATCGTACGTAACCAAGTCTTTCAGTAGCGTTTATTAGCGCCTCAAGGTGGAGCAACAGCCTTAATTGTGCTTCAATAGAAAGCTTTTAAAATGGGCACAAGAGAGAAATTCACCTTCCCAGCCTTGACTCTCAGGGAATTAATCTAATTTTATTCCTCATGCTAAACACAGCATGCTCAAAGTAGCTAAGTCTGAGCCTCAGTGCTTGCAAAATCCCAGCAAGTCCTTCCTTATATGGGAAGAAAGCCAAGATTCTCAAAGTCGATGCTGTCAGCTCAGAAGTGACACTTGAAAAGGAGACAGTACAAAACATGAATTAGCAGCTTCTCTTTTTCATACACAGGAGCTTTCAGCATGTTGTCAGTGATCTTCTCTCCCCCTGTCTGACACCATCCCACCTCATGCTGCCTCAGAGCACATACCTGCCTCATTCTCTCCCCTTGCCCTGCAAGTTTTTCCTTTCCCCCTGCAAGCCTCTCCAGTGCCTGCAGACCTTTCTTACTACAGCAACATGCTTTCTCCTACAGAGGAATCCACTAACATCCCCCCTTTGACACCAAATAGCAGCACCCAGCAGAGTTCACCCGCCACGTATTCC